GGAAATCTTCAACCGAAACAAGAGCATGTCCAAGTTCGTCTCCGTGTGCCCAACATCAGCGCATACCGGAGAAGGTATTCCAGATATGATCAAGCTCATCGTCAGACTCACGCAAGAGCGTCTGACTAACAACCTCATGTACCTTTCTGAGGTTGAGTGTACTGTGCTTGAAGTCAAGGTCATCGAAGGTCTCGGTACTACTATCGATGTTATCTTGTCCAACGGTGTCCTTCACGAAGGTGACCGCATAGTGCTATGCGGTAACCCCGAGCCTATAGTGACGAACATTCGAGCGTTATTGACACCGGCTGAGATGAAAGAGCTGCGTGTCAAGTCGCAATACGTGCACAATAAGGAAGTCAAGGCTGCCATGGGTATCAAGATCGCCGCCGATGGACTTGACCAAGCCATCGCAGGTTCGCGTCTGCTTGTCGTCGGTCCGAATGACGACGAGGAGGATCTCATGGACGAGGTCATGGGTGATCTAGCCCATTTGCTCAGCAAGGTCTCCAAGACTGGTCGTGGTGTCTCCGTACAAGCGTCTACCCTTGGTTCGCTCGAAGCGCTCCTTGAGTTCCTGCGTGTATCGAAGATCCCCGTCGCCACCATCTCCATCGGTCCTGTCTTCAGAAAGGACGTCCTTCGTGCAGGTATCATGTTAGAAAAGGCCAAGGAATACGCCGTCATGCTGTGCTTCGACGTCAAGGTCGACAAGGACGCCAAAGCGTACGCAGAGGAAATCGGTGTCAAGATCTTCGAAGCTGATATCATCTACCACTTGTTCGACAAGTTCACAGCGCACATGAAGCAGCTCGAGGAACAGCGGAAGGAGGATTCAAAGATGTTGGCTGTCTTCCCATGCGTACTCAAGCCCGTTGCTGTCTTCAACAAGAAGGATCCCATCATCATTGGCGTGGATGTCACTGAAGGTGCTCTGAGGATGACAACGCCCATCTGCGCGGTCAAGAAGAACGCCACCACCGGTGCCAAGGAACTCGTCCACCTAGGAAGAGTGTAAGTTCCCCCTGTCCTCTTCCCGAACATCAATTTATTAACTCATTTCATAGTACATCCATCGAGCGCGACCACAAACCCATGCAAATCTGCAAGCGAGGCCAGCCCTCCGTCGCCGTCAAGATCGAAGGCTCTAACCAGCCCATGTACGGTCGTCACTTGGAAGAAGACGATATCCTCTACTCTGCTATTAGCAGAAAGAGTATCGACACCCTCAAGGAGTACTTCAGGAGTGATGTCAGTCAGGATGAGTGGAAGTTGATTGTGCAGTTGAAGAATGTGCTTGATGTGCAGTAAGGAAGAAGGGTGGTAGACGGGCATGGCTGTGGTGGTGTATGATTTTAGAAGTCTAGTTAGTGGTTCTATTTTTCTTCCTGCCTTTTTTTAGGGCGCGAACAATAGCATTTGTTTGGCGTTCAAGTACAAACATATTCTATCCTCCCCGTTTTCTCCAATATCCTCCTTCCACGCGCTCGAACCATGATTTATCGTCTTCGTCGCCATTGTAAGGTGGCTAGACCGACATGTGGTAGCGGGGCAGGGTACACGATGCACTCGCTGGCGTAGTTTGGTGTGCATAACGACGACGCTGAAGACTTGACATCTGCGGAAACTTGGAGCTTGATGCGAGATACTGGGTCGACGTTATTGGATGAAGAAGGGTAACACTCTGTTGACGATGATTCAAGCGAATGGTACTTGGTGAGTGCTGGAAATAGAGCGCGCGCGATTTCGAGCGATAGGACTGAGGACATGGCGAATACAGAATATATTCTAAAAAAGAATCTTATTTCGCAAACGTAGGATATGGAACGTTAGATCGAAGTTGAAATCGTTGCTATCGCTGGGTGGGTGATGACTTCTATCCCGACACGAAACAGCGCGTGGTTATACTTGCTCCGCGGCATTCTCGTGCTGCTTGTGCGTGTTTGCTAAGCACGAGCTGACGGAATGGCTAAACAGATGTTAAGGCGGAGGAGGGGCTCGGGCATGATTACGCAGGCTCACTTTTTCTCGTTATGGGCTTTGTTGCGGAGGAGCCTCTAAAGACGCGTAGGAGATGTTGGTGTTATGCGCGCACGGCTGGGTCGCACCTGCGATTAGCGGGCGCAGTGACGGAAGGGTCAATAACGAAGGATTGCGCCAGGCTCTCGCGACGTCTTTTGGCAAAGCCGCGAAGACCGCAGACGCCTTTAGTTTTTTTTTTCATCCTTCGTCCTCTACGCTTTCTTCATCGCGAAAGGCCGCCATTTTTGGGTCGGTTGGGTGAACGTTCTATGGGGCTCGGTGCAGGATCGCATCGGCGACGAGTCAGGGCGACCACCACCTCAGACCGCTGCGACATGCGCTGCTGATTGGCGACACGCTGTGCGAAGCTATGCAGCAGATTGCATTAGAGCGCGATAACAACTGAGTTTCCGGCCATGTACGTGTACTCCATCATCGCGTTCCCAGCTGTCTGGCATCGACGAAATGTACCTAATTACATGCTCTTCAGCGACTCTGAAAAAAATGACTAGTGCTCGTTCATGTCGACCACTTTCTTCTCTTTGCGTAGCAAGAAGGTTTCTGACATCTCCAAGGCCGTCATAAGTACCCTCGAAATGTTGAGATCGAAGAAAGGACGTCATCATGCTCGACTCGCCAGTGTAGCGCCCGGCACGGTCCCGAAGTTTAGCTTCATCTGATCCACAATTTCAGCCGCATCTTGATCTCGAATAGGCTCAAAATGTCGTTCCGCGGAAAGATCTGAGCCAGGATCGTCCATGCACGCATTCAATACCTGCCAATCGTGATCGTAGAAGAGCATCTCAATGTCTGATCAACACCAGACTAACATACAAGCGGCGATCATGCCGCCTGTGTAGAACACTGCTTATCGAAATCTCATCGTGGTGGGTCATACTAAGATCGTGGCGCGAGTGCCTCTGTCATGTCCTGCAAAAGTTCTGTCGAAATTTTGCCAGCTCTCCCTTTCCTCGTCGCAGTGTGGTGAAAGACGCACATCATGGCCCTTCCAAATGCTTCACGACCTGTTTCTTGGTCGAATACTACAGCAGCATCGACAAGACCACCAAGTCCTGTCAACATCGAAAAAGACCATGACAAAAGTCGCCAACCGTCGACGATAGCAGACTTCAATCCAGGTATCGATCCCGAAAAAGGCTCTCCACAGAATGCAGGTCAAGAAGCAACACCCAGCGCTCCTCACACCTCATCGCAAGATCGCCCTTCAGCGCTCGACTGGGACGGCCCAGACGATCCTCTGAACCCGCACAACTGGAGTGCAGCGCGAAAATGGTATCAAACATACACGATTTCAGGCATCGCATTCGTAGGAACATTCGCATCGTCCGTCTTTACACCCGCCATCGAACAATCAGCATCAGAGCTCCACTCCACCCAACTCATCGCAACCTTCGCATACTCCATATACGCCCTCGGACTCGCTTTCGGCGGACCATTCGCCGCGCCTCTGAGCGAGACATTCGGACGGCGACCCCTCATCTTTATCAGCCTGCCTATCTTCGCGCTCTTCATACTCGGGACGGGTTTCGCGCAAAGTATGGCGAGTCTGGTGGTGCTAAGGTTCTGGGCTGGTTTCTTCGCTGCTCCAAGTCTGAGCATGGGATCAGGTACCTTGAGCGATATCTGGCCGCCTGAGAAGCGGTCTGGTCCCATGTCGCTGTATGTCGCAACACCATTCATGGGCCCAGCTTTAGGACCCATTCTAGGTGCTGCGGTAACACAGACACGGGACTGGCGCTGGACGTCTTGGCTGATACTCTTCTTCACCATCGTGCTGGTCATTGCGCCTGCGCCGTTTTACAAAGAGTCGTATAAGCCCGTCCTCCTGCGTCAGCGCGCGAAGAAGCGGAATCTTCCTCTGCCGCGGTCGCCGACTGAAGGCATGTCGTTGCCGAAGATTGTGAGCACATATGCGACCAAGACGCTCACTCGACCGATGCATATGCTGCTCACCGAGCCGATCGTGGCGACCTTCAATACGTACTCTGCATTCAACTTCGGCCTGCTATACGCCTTCTTCGCCGCCTTCCCATACGTCTTCGCAACTGAATACGGTTTCGACAGTCTCTCCACCGGCTACACGTTCCTTGGTCTGGGTGTCGGCGTCATCGTCGCTACCATCTGCATCGTCTCATTCAGTAAACTATACTACCTCCCTCGCGTACGTAAAGCGATTGCAGAGAAGGCTCCAGCGCCGCCCTTCGCAACATCACGACTCGCACCTGAAAAGCGATTACCTCTGGCATTCGCCGGTGGACCTATTCTCACAATCGGCCTCTTCCTCTTTGGCTGGTCGGCCGCTTACCGCGTCCATTGGATCGTACCAACCATCGCTGAAGCGTTTTTCGGGATGGGCAATATGCTTATTTTCATGGCGTGCATGATGTATATTACTGATACCTATGGGCCGTTGTATAGCGCTAGTGCTATGGCTTCGAACGCTATATTGCGCTACGTACTCGGTGGTACTTTCCCTCTTTTCGCGGTTCAGATGTTTCGGAGATTAGGGCCGCAGTGGGCATGTACGTTGCTGGGGTGTTTGAGTATTCTGGGGGCGTGTATACCGTTTGTGTTGGCGAGATATGGGGAGGTGCTGAGGAGTAGGAGTGGTTATAAGAGGAGTGGGTAGCGTATTGATGGAGTGCAGAGTAATGCTCAATGAATTACAATGTGATAGCATTTAGCGGGCACCAAGAAGTGCAATGCGAAGCCTGAGATTTGCAATTTCAAGGCACATTGCGTGTGACGTTGGTATTGTCGGTGATCTCAAGCTGAGAGCTAACAGCAGTGGACTGTTTTAGACAAGAAATAATTTCTTAGGAGACAAGAGGTTCCTAAGCTTTACTAAAGACTACCAAGATATGTTTTGGAAGGAAAGGAACGCTCTTCTGACATGTTACTAGTGAAAACTGTGATCACGGCATCCGAGATAACACAACGCGTGATAGAAACAGTCTTCATTCCTCCATTCCTTCCTCCATGGCAAGAAAATCTTCCCAAGCTTCGGTTGGTGCGCCGTCCATAAGGTCGTCGAACGAATCGAAGTGAGTTTCGTGGTCAGGTTGCAAAGTGGTGCTTTGCGAGTTGCCGATGTGTGCGATTGATGGTACGGTTCTTGGTGCGTTGGCGGTATGGGCGATGGCGCCATGGGAGAGGAGGAGATCGACGATCTTGTGGTGCTTCTTTGTTTTTGCCCATTGCAACGCCGTCCATGGCTCCTGAGAATCGTCCGTCTGGTTTACATCGATGTCTTTGTGTTGGAGGATTGATCTCACTGCTTCCAGTTTGCCGTGTTTGGCAGCAGTCATCAGAGGAGTAAGGCCATATCCTTCGCGTACGTCCACGTCGATGTCTGGATAAGCTAGCAGGTCTTCGATGACTTCGCGGTCGCCCTTTCTAGCAGCGACATGAAGAATAGTGTTATGCGTTCCGGGCAGGATTTCGTTCGGGCCTCCAAAGTCTGGATGCTCAAGAAGTCTGCGAAGGAAACCTTCTTTGGTGAACGTGAGACTTATTGGTGGGACATCAGATGATCTGCAACGACCGTCTTCCATCGACTCCGAGTGTTTGAGAAGCAAAGAAGCTGCTTCCCAGTGTCCATTGAAGGCTGCATAGTGTATGGGTTTGGCCGCTTCTTTGTCTTGACAATTGACGTTAACGCCTGGATGACGGATCAACTTCGCTACGACTAGTGTGTGTCCATTGGAGGCCGCACAGTGCAGAGGAGTCGCCCCGCGCCTGTCTTGAAAGTTGACATCAACATCTGGATGGCCAAGCAGCTGCTCCACGATAGCTGCGTGACCTCCTGAGGCAGCTATATGCAGCGCTCGTCTATTATATAAGTCTCCCAAATTAGTATCGATGTGATTGCAAGTGATGAGGCTCTCCATGACTTTTGTTCGTCCGAGCATAGCCGCTAGATGTATTGGGGCAAAGCGCAGAGCGTGACTCGGGATTTGATCATTTCCATTGACCTTTGGGTCATCAAGTAAAGCGGTAACGAGCGAGCAGTGTCCGGTACGCACTGCGAAGCTGAGTTTCTTCGTGTCAGCTCTTTCGGTGAAGTCGCTTCCCAATCGCGTAAGGTAGACATCAACGATATCAACGTTACCCGATCGTGTCAAGTAGCGTTCAACTTCCTTCTTTGAAGCATCAAGGTCCATCTGTGTCATGCGCTCAAGGAAAATCTGCAGTGTCTCCGGGCTGTTACTCAGAATAGCCTCATGTATCGGTCGCCGACGCTTGTCGTTCCATACGTTCACGCTTGCTCCTTTCGTAAGAAGATGCTTGACTGTCGCCGCTTGACCAGCTTTTGCGGCGCAGTGCAAGCCAGTGGATCGATCCTCTGCCCTCGAATCGATTTCCAATCCTGCATCTAGGAAGGTTTGCAGCCTGTCCAGGTCTCCTGAAGCGGCCACTAAAATGAAGTTACACACACTGTGTAGCTGTGTACTACCGAAGACATCGGACTGTTGGTCTGGCAAATGTATTTTGTCGTTGATTTCATCGATGCAGCCGAGTAATAAAGCAGTATGCTCCTTCTTTTGATGCCTCCTGAGATTGTCCTTTCGATTTGAGATGAATGCGCAGCGCTCAACAAGGCAACGGTACTTTTCATTACCAGCACGGTGTTGAGATTTGATGTGACGTTGGAGGTCCAAACGAGAAGCAAAGCCTCTTGTGCACGTTTGGCATTTGTGAGGCTTCGTATGTGTTTTCAGATGCTTACTTCCATGCATTAGTGACGACATAGTAATCAAATTCTGTGTACCTACTTCAGCTTGCCCCGTGTATCAACTTGTTTGGAACATAGATGGCACGCAAATTTCTCGAAGGTCATTTTTGAGTCTGTCGTGCGCCATTAGTGGGTAAGCCTTCGGCTTATGTCTGCATCTAAATTTGAGGCTAGCAACTGAAACGCATTGGCCTTGAGGGGCACGTAGGCGCCACTGAGCGCTTAGTCCATATCATGCATCTAAGTAGCCTTACAAATGGTAGCACTCCCCGATCTCACCAGTTAATTGAAGATATGTTTCCCCCGTCAGCTTCCTCTTTGCTACAGCGACTATCTTCTACTCACTCAGACATACTGTACCTCCAGTAACCTTTACGAAAGCTCTTGTCTTCAGAAGACCGGCCACCGCATGCCACGATGTCGCAGCAGATTCCTGGAACGAACTCCGCGCACGACTCTTACGACCCTCCAGCATTTGGACCAGACTACTACGACGACAATCCGGAATTTGGGTAAGTACCTTTTTTTTTTAACCTCACGCAGGTATGCCTCCCAGGCTGAGCCGGCAAACCCAAAGCAGCCTAAAGCCGCCTACGCCGTGCCCTTTCATCACCCAATCGTTCATCACCACGACGCCATCCTGTCCCAGGTAGTTGCACAGACCAACGAAAATCTTCCACTCGCGCAGCCAGAACATGATGCTGGTCCTCAGTACCCTGATCATGACCCTTGGTACACTAATGCCTCTACCGCTGCCGCCTTCGATATCTACAGTCAGGGAGGTTTCAACACTGACGCTGGCTTCTACAACACTCCGTTGAACTTTCAACACGGCGGAATTGATTTGGAGCCTGCCTTCCCGATAGCCCCTATGGAACCCGTCTGGGATTTCAACAACATCCAGGACTTTGATCAGCTAGACATGCCCATCCCAGCTGGCGCTCAGCTGAACCCAGCGCCTTTCCCAGCATTGGTCTCAGCCCCGCCAGCCGCGGTCCCTGCTCCTGCTCCTGCTGCAACAGACCGCATCCACTGTCCACATGGATGTCCCGCGACTTTCGGTCGCGGCGGAGAGTATCGTCGCCACATGATGATTCACGAGCCTGCCAGGTACAGATGCCCTATGGTGGATTGTCCCAGGACGTTTTCTCGCGCAGACAAGCTTCGCGATCATGCCAAGAAGGGCCACGGAGGTCGCAACCCTTTGCGCCTGTAGTTGTTCTGTGTCCCATGTCCTGTCCTCACGAATGTTTGTGCGAGTAACTCATCTCGGTCTTTACACTCTTGTCGCTACTTGTTAGTACACTCGTTACTGCTAGCTTTTGTTGCTCTTTCTGCTTTCTAGTTACGTCGCTCCTTGATAATTGTAGTTAGTGAAATACCAGTCATTCCTTAACCTTGCCATCCCCATCGTGACAACAATACCCAACCTCATCGCTCCCACAGAGCCTCACTTGGCTCCCAAAGTGCCCAGACTCCGGTGAGCCGTGGCGGTGACACGTCGTCAAGCCACATAAACGGAAGGGCACACTCGTCCAATCGCGAACAGAAAGGCTGCAGATGCGAAGGTCCTTCATGCGCAGTCTATCACGCGTGTTGTTGTGCGTCGAAGGGCACGCGCGTCCAATGATAGAGTGACGCGAAGTGGGGTCGAAGCTGAGCTGGCGGGGCAAGGGGCACGGTGGCGTCGCTAGCGCGATCTGAGAGGGCGTGTGGCTGTTGGGTTGTGTGTCTCCCCACAGTTGTGGGTTGGATGTGCGTTGAATGCGCGCTGTAACTTCTGGTTTATGGATCGAGGCCGAGTGTGTATGAGAAGTGAACATAGCGAAATGGCTTTCTCCACTGATCCATGAAAGCTGCACATCTTGGCCATCGATGAGAACAAGCAAGCTGGCCCATCGGTTGACCCTTGCAACTACTCTAGTTTGGGTGCTAGGTTAATATGATTGGAGAACTGTTTACAAAGAAGAGGTACCTTGCTCGTCAACACCTCCGGGCTTTGCTCATCCATAGATCAGTATGTTCCGAGAGAAGCGCACTTCACCCTGTCGGGCAGCTCCGGCTTGAGACTGACATACTACTCGTTGCAATACAAAGCGTCATACAGTCGGGTAACAATCGCCATAGTATAGTCAGTACAGGCAAATAGTCCTAACTTCAATGAGATCCTTCAGTCAATATCTCAAGAATGCAATCTCTGGTGAATGATACTGTTTGTCGAACAAAACCAGCATCCACGCTGTGATATTCGGCGCGTACGTCTTGACCTTGCTACTCTCTTCCAGTCCAGCCCATGTCTTTTCCACAAGTCCCAAGCGCCCATCGCGTGTGATGTTGATATTTCCCAACAACAAAGCGAGGATGCATGCGCTCAGGCCGTAATTACCACTATCCAGCATGCACGAGGCGAGTCGGTTCCGAAATCGACATATATGTCCGAAAATTGCTATGCGGTCCGCCACCATTTGGTTATCGCAATCCTGCATGGTTCTAAATATGGCAAGACAGCCCCACCAGGTACGGTTTGAGGTGTAGTCTCGGGAAGTGGCAAAATTCTCGTAGAATCGATGACTCCCTAGAAAAGTCCATTTCTCATCTTTATTGAGACTGCAAACATGGAGCATGTCGGCCATGTGCCTGCCACACAAGTCGTTGAAGTATGTTGCATCGAAACAGAAATCTGCACCTATCATATGGAGGTGCACGTCGTCTGATATCTTGGAAGACACCTCAATAGGAACCAGAAGAAATAACGCCGAGGCAAATCTTTTCTCCTGGAATGCCCATGTTCGGCGGAACCAAACATCTTGTGCAATAGACGTAAGCAGTTCTGTGGCCGCTTTAACTCGCTCACTTCCTGGAGGCCATTTAGAGGACTCTCTGTTCGTTAAGCTCTTGTGTTAACAATACTTCTCTTTTTAAGAGGACCTAATTGTATAGGTGCATATAGATTTTAGAAGTTGTAAGTTACTTATTATAATAAGTTATTAAGTATACTATAGGATAGAGGTAATAGTTCTAGAGTACAACTTTGCGCATACAGTAATATAAGTTAAAAGTAGAGTATATAAGGTAACTACCTTAGCGTTATTATTGCTTATATAACACATACATATACTATAGCACTTCTTCCTGCCTCTATTACCTTTAAAATCTTAATCTAACTATATATTCTTATTAACGTTAAATGCTGCTAGCTCTTACCTACTAATATAGTAAGAGTAACCTACTACTAAGTAGCTATATAGGCTAAGTATTATCTATAGATACCTATAAACGCAAACGTAAACCTATACGCTTAATAGAGCGTTAGATTATATAAGTTCTGCCTTAAGCGCCTACTTAGTACGTAATATAATGTAACTTATAACAAGTATACGCTAATAGTATACAAGTCTACACTAAGTAGGTAAATACTTCCTCTGCGCTAAGATAGCTGTAGTAGATGTACTACTTATTTGTCTAGGTTAGCTAGGTTACTAGCTTTCTTAGGCAGAGACTGCTTTTTTTACTTAGAGCAATATTAGTAGCGACATAAAATAGTAGAGGCATACTAACGCACTTCTTGCCTCTTATAATGTATAGGTTAAGATGTAGGTTAGTATTTAAGCTGTCTTAGACAGCAAGGATAGGTACAGAACCTTATGCTAGAGCAAATAGAACATATCGTAGAACATATAATCGTATAGGTGATAATGGCCGCAGGTGAGACACAAGGGCTCTGTTCGTCACATCCTTGTTGTATTTACAGTCGTGATAGAGGTATGTAATCAGCTGTTCCAAAGAACGACGATCCGTTATCGGATGAGACAGTGGCGCCACCGTCCACTTGCTCTCTTTGTATACCCGATGCATGATCTTCAGATGTGCCTGAATATCTGTAGGGTCGGTCTGATCAATGCATTCTTGATCAATCCAAACGAACGCACATTTGCGAGATCTGGCGAACAGCATTGCGCGATGGAAGACCAACGTCGGACAGCCGATAGGTATAGGTTCGCCTGCTTTCGACCAGTCCGATATATGATAATGCGGTAGTGGTGGCCGACCTTCCATGGACTGTGTATGCTTCCAGCAGTAGGAAACAGTAATGTACTCCATGCCATCGGCATGTTCCTCTGGTGTTGTGAGTCGGTAGTCGTTGTAGCTGTCGTCTACAAGCCATTTCTCGACGGATACAGGCGTAATGAAGCGAAGTTTGATTGGCGTGTTCTCTGGGACCTTGTACAGTGCCAGATCGAGAATCTTCTCAACCTCCTCGTGAAGAGCCTCTGGTGAGCTGTATATCTCGGTCAAAGGCAGATGGTCGTCGCGCTGCATGTTTGCAATCCACAATTCCAATTGGTAATTCGTTGAGATCCAGGGAAGTCGCGATCTTGAAGCCCAAGGTGCTTCCTAGGCTCTTGAGCCCATTTGTGTGCTGCTTCGTGAGCCGAGTCGTTGTAGTGGTTTCGCAGCACCGTGTATGATCGAAAGAGGGGTAGGTGCAAGAGATGCGCATCAGTAATGTCTGTTGAAGAGCACGTTAGTTTGCAGCAGGCAGCGACATCAGGCGCGATTGCGTTGCATCTCACTGCCCACGTGCATAGCGGGGTTCAGTACCTCCAAGGCTACAACACGCAGGCGCAACCAAGACCACCATGAACTGTAAATATCTTCATTACTTAACAAGGCGAAACCAACAAAACCAGCCAAACCAAAGCCGCAAGCGAATGCATACCCAAATCTAACAAAACGCCCATTGCCTAATGAAAATGCCAAAAAGATCCCACCCATCACCCCATCTACCGAGCGTATATCATCGGATAGCATTAAACTCGTATATCAGGATATCGCAAAGAACCCCATTTTGAACGCCATAACAGACAAATGCATACTCCACGTTTCGCATGCCCATTTCACATCATCGTCGTCATCAGTACAATGATCGTCGCTTCAGCTTATTCCTGCGTTCCGTTAGCAAGCATTCACCCTCAAATAGTCTCGCACCATGTAGAAGAACTTACGTAGCACCCC